ATAATAATTAATTCTATTTTTTGCAAAATTTTAATATATAATTTTACCATAAATTTCAATATTTGAAAAAACTTTTAATAAATTATATAATGATAAAACCTTTAATTAAAATGCTTTATTTCTTTTTATTTGAATTTTAATATATTTAAAAATTTATATTGCCCTTAACAATTTAAATCAGGAAGGGAAAGTAGTTAAAAAAATATATAAAAAAATGGAAACAAAATTAAAATTTTTAAAATTATACAACCCCTTTTAAAAATAAGTAAATATAATAAAATAATAATAAGAATTTTTCTAATATTAGGAATTTAAAATATAATATGAAAATTTTGTTTAAATGTAATACTTTTATTAAACTTTAAATTTTTAACTTTAATTTTGAATTTTTTTCATTAAAAAATTTAATAAAATTAAATTTTATTTTTTATTTGAATATTTTAAAATGAATTTTTTATTATTTTATTTTTTTGACACCAAAAAATTTTTTACATTGTAATAATTATTAAAAATATTTCAGGAATATAGAAACATTTAATTTCCCCAATGGGGGTTTTTTATAATAATGAAATTAAGTTCTTCTCTTTTATCATAAATATTAGAAACTATTACATTATCTTTTAATTTGATATGTATATCAAGAATATATATATATATATAGCCTTCAACATCATTAAATACTCAGGGAAGGGAGAGGGTAAAGGTTAGTTGATATATATATATATACAACTTTAATGCGAACTCTTGAAATTATGGATATCCTTGTATCATCTACTGATTCATTTTTCATTTTTTCTCGGCTACACATTTTATATTTTAGTTTTATTTTGCAGTTAATACAAATAATAATGTATATGAAAAATTGTTTCCTTGTTTTTCAAAATCATTTTCAGTAGAAATAGTTACACAAATTATAGATGATTTTGAAACATTTGTACGATATAAGAAATTGATATATTCTTTCATTCAAAACTTCTTAAGGATTTCTTGAGATCTTCTAAAATTTGTGCAATTTTTTGTTTCACTTGAAAATGGATAAAAATTACTATTACTTTTGAATTGTTCTTTATGTTCTATTTGTTATTTTCTAAATATATTGAATATTTAAAAAATTTATTTGTATATTTTTGCGTTGGATCTACGAATGCAATTATGCCACGTAACATTTAAAAAAGTCAATAATCACTCACGTATATTAATTTATGAGGAGTGAGTGAATATTAAAGTCAACCTTTCAAGCTACTCGAGGGCTTTTGACGACAAACCTCGTAATTTTGCTCCATGTTCAAATGACGAGGATGACACATGAGCTGGCACCTGTCTCCTAACTTCCCCACCACACCAAAGGGAAGACGTTTACGCCTTAATATAATTAACGTATATCGGCCTCTTATGCACCACAGATCTTCAGCGGTACAGGTTCGAACTCATTACACGCCGGCCACGAGTCCCTTACCTTGACCACTAGGTTACTACGGTCACTAATTTGTCAGGAAATAATCTCACAAACAATTACCAAATAATAATGAAAATTTTTAACAAAGTTCAGTAACAAACTTTAAAACATAACATGTTAAAATTAATTTAAAAGTTTGAAACATATTTACTGTCTAGTTTTTTTTTTTTTTAAAGTATAAGATGAATAATTTTCAGTGTGTATTTTTGGCGTGTGTAACGTAAGAACCGCAAAAAAATTTAAAAATTATTGTATAACTTAAGTACATCTACTGAACTATTTCAAAAAGAAAAGAGAAAAAAAACTGCACTTATTTTTTAATATTTATTTCATGATCAGAAGATAAATCTAATATAACGTCATATCTGATTGAATTATAATGTATAAATGTGTTGGAAGTGTTTATCATAATCAATACACCACCAAAGAAATATTATATGAGACTGACATCTAATTTTTTGCTTGGAGATGCCTTATCCTTATTTTATATGTGCTTTGTTCTTTTTAGTTTCCCTTGCTTCATATTTATAAGTCCTGTAAGATAAATGAATTCCTCTCCGAAATTTTGCCTTGGGACAGATATATCCCTACCAAATGTGGTCCACATGTCATTAAATAGAGTCTATTTGGGACGTATGCTCACATAGTTTTGTGATAAAGTCGAAGTTTTTAACTTTACTTTTGCTTCCCAATATTTAAAAAATTCTATGAAGAAAAAGTTCTTTCTATGTAATATTTATCAGTAGTAAGTTTTTTTTAAAAGGTTTAAGATATTTTCTTTAATTAGATTATATGTCAGGCATTTTTAAAACTATGCGCCACGCTTCCGCAATTTCTTTAAGAGGAACAAGTATAAATAAAATCATTTTTACTAATTGTAGTTTTGTTAAAAGGGGGCTTAAACTATATTACACAATATTATTATATTTTTAGAAGTAAAAATAATAATGAACGAGTAAGTAGAATAAATTAAAAATAATAAGAAGTACTGAAATTATCAGTGCATTAATATTACAAATGTTACACTGGTGGGCTAACTTTAAGGTATCCGACTACGTTCGGAACCGTGATTTTGCAAAAGCGCATAAATGGATAATTTTCATGATATTGTGTGTCACTTAGATTAGAATATATATACATTGTTTTAGCGACATTTTGACAAAAATGATTTAAATAATATTTTGGCAATTAACTTTAGAACAATTTTTTTCCCAAATGTTCTCCTTTTGTGAAAAATGCTTCTATTATAATAATATTTTGCCTGTATATAGCTCAGACCTCTCTACAGAGGCTCCACTAGAATTTTTTAAATATATAACTTAAAAGTGGGTTTATCCATATCTTACTACAACAGAGGGGATCAACTTTAAGAAAAAAACGCCGATAATTATTCCAATGGGTTTCAACTCTGAAAATAATGTGAATTTTTCAAAAATCATAGTTGAGCCTCTGTAAAGAGGTCTGAGCTATATACAGGCAAAATATTATTATAATAGAAGCATTTTTCAGAAAAGGAGAACATTTTGAAAAAGATTATTCTAAGTTAATTTTTTACCAAAATATTGTATTTAAATCATTTTGTTTTGTCAAAATGTCCTTAAAACAATTTTATACATGTAGTCTAATCTAAGTGACCCTAAATATCATGAAAATTATCCATTTATGCGCCTTTTTAAAATCATTGTTCCGAACGTAGTCGGATACCTTAAGGACCAGACAATTTTTATGATGTAATGTCGTGCAAAAGTATTCTAAATCGACACATATGGTTCCATGAGATTCCCAAAATATAAGAAAATCGGAAAAGAAAAAAATATTTTTAACAGAGAAATTCGAAGGGTAAAAAGGAACGTTATTAAAAAGTTTGCCTCGAGTACAATTGGACAAAGACCGAAACGTTCACGAGACGAGTAGTGATGAGAAATATTAAACCTTTTGTAGGAAACTTTTAGTTGGCCTTTGACTGCTATGTTTGAATTGTTTGTCAATGAACAATGGAGGTATTTTTGACCATTCCTTTTATAATGCCAACTGTAGGCCAGGATCGTCGTTGGTGGCTGGTCACATGCTTCCAAGACTTTCCCTAGTGTCTTCCCATGTTTGTTTGTATTTAGACCTGGGGAACGTTTTGACCGATCAATGCGTTCAATATTTTGCTCTTCAGCAGCTTGTGATATGGTCGATCTTTGTCGACCATATCTTTGTGGGTCAGCGTGAATTAGAGGTGTGGGGTTCTCGAAATGAATAGACATTTTCGAATTCTTAATAGGACTTTATTAAGAGTTTAACTTTAATTTCTTATATATTGAACAAACTTATATTAAGTGAGAATAAACCAAAACTCATAACCTTAACTAAATCGGATCGCGCAATTTGGATCACTTATCTAAATAATTATATTATCCGCCTATTCTCAATTCTAATAATATTACGATTTCTTATATCAAATGATCTGTCCTACCTTGAATTCCACGCAACGGTTCAATCACCTTCAGATAGGCTGTTGGGCTCGCGTGCAATAGTATGCACCTTGTAGTAATGGCTAGGAATCCGTGATTCCTTGGTAGGCCGTCAAATTACACTTCTACCTTTTCCTAACAGAATTTTCTCTAAATTGCCATCATGCTTACTAAAACTTCTGTTCTTTTCTGTTGTTACAGAAAAGACGCGTGAGTCCGTCACAAGCTCATCAACAATTAATGTTTGGTGAGCTATAGAGTTGCCGTCCATGAAGAAGAATGTAGACCTATAGCACTTCTATATAGATGCTCTTGAAGTAGGGAATGTTTGATGATTAATGTTGATATAATATCAATAGCAGTGATTGAACCTCATTAGAAGAAGTTAAGATCTGAACCTGTGCGTGTACCAAGTATGTCTCTGCAAACGAGAACCGTACAAGCATGATACACCATACCGGTGTATTCCGCTGACAAAGGGGAAATTATTGTCTATTTCTTGCTCTCTCCAGATGTGTGAGCATTCAAATTCGTTTGTCTGACTTAATTTGCATCATCTGTAAACAGATTTCGAACTCAATGCTGATCTACCAATTCTTGTATTTCCGGCATCAGAGAAACTGCCATCTCCGATGAGTGCGCGTTATTTGCCCATATCGCACTAGTCATTGTGTGAGTAGACCATAATTAATTCGCTAGATCACGGTGAAAATCAGTATCTGACTTTTGCTAATTTGTTTTTTGTGTCCTGTAATTTATCTCGGTGTCTTTCATATTTCTCTTTTCGCCTATGATTCACCCTTAGATAAGATCATTCAAATGTTATATACATGACCGCATGTTGGGCAAATCTCGACGTCATTTAAAGTGATGTTCACCATGCAATCGTTTTTACGGAATTGCTTACATACGCCAGCTTGTTTTATGTTCTTCCGATGTTCCTCCTGTGCATTATGCTGGATTCTAGTAAATACGCATGTCCTATTGCATACGGTCAGCAAGTCTCCCGATTGGAATGCTAGCCAAGTCTATCCTACCTGCTTATTTCGCTGATATTTTAATAGCTCAGCTAATATTTTGAGGACTCAGTAGCCTAGTGGTAATGGTCACGAGCCCTGGCATGAGTTGTTAAGTCTCGGGTTCGAATCCTGATACTGAAGAGGAGCACCACTGATAAGGTGCTGTTTAGACCGGATTACCAATGTGAAGGCTGCGTTACAAAGACATGATGCTCGTTATGCTGGAACCTTGAAAGGTTCGGCTGTAGGTTAGAGAAAACCCAAGTGAATTTAGTAGAGTCAGAGGAAGTGAAATTTGTCACGCCTTCAAAAGCGACACGTGACACAGAAAGATTCCTGTTTGGACCTAGCCGGAATTATTATTCGGCCGTTGGTCCTTGTCACCCCTCATATGATGAAATTTGAAGCCGGAGATTGGAGTGGTAACTGCGGCTTCTTTATAGGCTGGATAAAGGGAGGTCAAATGTTGACTTTTCCTAGAACTTAAGCGTTGCCCTGTTTTGGGTACTTTTCCACTCAAAACTATGTGATCGTTGGGAAGTCATTAATTCTCTAACAGAAAATCGGTCTTTTGGTGGAGACCACTGCAATACCACTGAAGACCGACGGTGCAGAGGGGTGATGCACATTCAAGTTTAAAGTCCTCACATTGATGTGGTGAGGGAATTCAGCGAGTAAGGTATTGGCTTAGGTGTCATCCACATAATTTGAAAGTGGTTCAAAATTACGCTGTCCGTCGCAAATAATTTTCACGTTGTTTTAGAGGGCGAAATTAATACACATTCCCTCTCGTCCGTAATATATTCACACCAAAATATTTCGTCATTAGGACTATCTTTTTGAATTCATTAACATAGTGCTAATCCCATGAAGTTTTACTTTCTTCCTGAAACCTTCAATAATTGTATTAATTTAAATGGAATAAAGTGTATCAAAAAGCAAAGAGTAATCGTCTTTTTTCTAATACTTTTAAATCTATTTTTATACCTATTTTTATGATTCATGTTTGTAAGTGATCAGAATCTTATTGATATTTTCAGAACTCTGATGGAAAGGTACAATTTTCATATAAACCTTTGATTAGTTTTTGTTCTTACGAGTGGACTATATAAATGAATATTAAACACATAGTTTATATTTAAGGAAGAAAATATAGAATTTACGTGAGATTAGCATTAAGTTCAGGATGTTAAAATGGTAAGTAGACGAGAGCGTGAGCAACAAAAATGATTTAGATTTCAGTTAGAAATAACAAGCATACAAATTATTATAAGACTAGATCTAGTTTTTCATGCGGCTGCGGATAGGCATATCCATAATTTCGGGCAGATCTCGGGCCAATTCATCATTATAGATAAAGACTGTTGAAGTCCTAAATGTATTGAACAGTCCTGAACTGAAGACCTCTCTGTATATTGATTTTTTTAAAGTTCCAGAAGCCATTTTATTGGAAAACTGCTTTTGCATCTCGAAAATCTTTTTAAAGTATCGAATTTTTCGGAATAAGATTTCTGGGTTTTTTATTTAAAGCAGAGGTGTCCAACCGAAATGACCTTGCGGGCCACTTCGAAAAACATAATTTCGCGGACCGCACACAAAAATATGCACTTTTATATCAGATTTGTAATGAAAATTTAAAGCAGAATGAATTAATATTATTGTTTTCATTATTTTTCATGTATACAGACATAAATAATATAATAATGCTTATATAAAATAATAATACAATGTTCCAATAATGTTTAAAATATATTACACCTGCCATTTTCTTGAAAATTACGGTGTTCCTATTGAATTCATCTTTCATTACTCATTGTTGAAATTTGATAGTGCTGTCATTCGCAAACGATTAATTATACATTGTCCTTTATCTTAACTATCCTGAATATATTTTTTAAACTTTTAAAAATAATCTCTGACTGCCTCTTGCTTTTTGGGCACTCCAAACAGAAAAGGAGGAGGAGAAACAAAAGTCTCACAGAATCATGTAACATCCGTAGTAAAGGATATAAATAATTTACACAATTCGAAATTTATTAAAAAGGTAATTAAATATAGTAAAATCACATGTAACTGTTTGATAAAATATAAATCTATTTTAATCTAAAGGACATTTCTATTTTCAAAAAGGATTTATTTTAAAACAAGAACACGTAACAGGCACAAATACATTTTATATGTATATATATATATATATATATATATATAAATTTCCCCTCAAATAAATTTCAAAATGAAAAAACTTTAAAAATCTGATATTTAATTTTTTTAAAAAAAACGAGTCGGTGGGCCGCAACTTACGTACTGGAGGGCCACATGCACCTCGCGGGCCGCGTGTTGGACACCTCTGATTTAAAGTGTCGATATTCTTTAAAACAAAACCCTTAAGGTATCCGACTACGTTCGGAACCGTCATTTTAAAAAAGCGCATAAATGGATAATTTTCATGATATTTAATGTCACTTAGATTAGACTACATGTATAAAAATTGTTTTAAGGACATTTTGGACAAAAGAAAACATTTAAATACAATATTTTGGCAAAAAATTAACTTAGAATAACCTTTTTTCAAAATGTTCTCCTTTTGTGAAAAATGCTTTGATTATAATAATATTTTGCCTGTATACAGCTCGGACCTCTTTACAGAGGCTCATCTATGATTTTTGAAAAATTCACATTATTTTCAGAGTTACAACCAATTGAAATAATTATCGGCGTTTTTTTCTTAAAATTGCTCTCGTCTGCTGTTGTAAAATATGGATAAACCTACTTTTAAGTTATATATTTCAAAAATTCTAGTTGAGCCTCTGTAGACAGGTCTGAGCTATATAGAGGCAAAATATTATTATAATAGAGGCATTTTTCACAAAAGGAGAACATTTTGAACTAAAATTATTCTAAGTTAATTTTGTGCCAAAATATTGTATTTAAATAATTTTTTTTGATGAAAATGTCCTTAAAACAATTGTATACATGTATTCTAATCTAAGTGACACTAAATATCATGAAAATTATCCATTTATTCGCCTTTGCAAAATCACGGTTCCGAACGTAGTTGGATACCTTAAGATGCGTAGAATACGTGTAGAATTGTTCTTTGAGTAATGTAGTGTGCTTCACATAAATCCTTACCTGACGGAGAGTCCAAAATATAGCAGTGTTTGTTAGTCTTTGTGAATGAGATGGTGTACGTTCTTTCTTTTTACACTTCTTAAAGCGGGACATTCAGAATGTCTAAGCATTTCAGTAAAGTCATGTTAATTAAAAATTTAAACATGCGAAATTACATTTGATTGGTCAATACATTTTTTAAAAATTTGTTATATTATACTGAAATGTGAACTTTTTGTAGAAAACTCAAAAATTTATTTTTACAAATTTTTTTTATGTGCAAAAATGGATCAAATTTTACTATGTTTGATAAAATATTTTATAAACTATGAAAACATTCAAAATTAGCTAAAAGCTCTTTTCAGTATAATGAGAAAGATGTACTTTAATTGTTTGAAAAAATTCAAACATGTACATAAAAAGTTTTTTGAGAAAAAGGTACATCGAAAACAGCCAATTCAACACTGTCGGTATATATACAGAGAGAGATTTCCTACTCCCCTTAAGTTATTCCCTTTAAATAAACTGTATTAAGGTACGTGTAGAAATCTAATTTCTTATGTACATCTCTTCTTCATTTTTAAGGCGGTAATTTTTACATCAGGGGTATAACGGGCGCCCGTAATCTTTCATCGTTTTTTTTTTATTAAAAAGGGCGTTATATACATCGGAATACACGGTATATGTCTTTTAAAAATGATATATCTAAATTTTTAATTGAAACTTTTACCGCTTGACAGTTTGCTGAATAAACAAAGTTTAGTAGATATTATAGCCTTTTGAATCATTAAGAAAGCTCAGCCAAAAATTTTGCTTTCAAACTGATGAGATTGCTTATATCCTCAGAGGTAATAAATCTTAGTCTTGAAACGAAAGTAAGAAGTTGTTAGAAAATATGATGGATGATTTTTTTAAAGGAATAGTTAAAATATTTGTCCTGAGAGCAGAAGAAAGGGAAAGAAAGAGAGAGGCAAGGAGAGAGATAGTAAGCCTTTGTTTTTCTTGTTTATTGTTGTTTGGTGCGCTTACAAAAACAGCTGACACCATAATAGGTGCATAACTGGCACTTTGGGAAACTATAGATCATACTTTCCAACCATCAAATGAGTAAACAAATAAATTATAGGTTTAATAATATACAGGGTGTTAAAAATATTCGAAAAGAAAAAAAATATTCAGGATAGAGAGGTTAGACGTAGGAATAAAGTTTAATTGAGATGAAAAAAACCTTTTAAATACAAAAATAGATGCTAAAACTTATATCATAACATACTGAAATGAAATAAAAACTTACCTCAATTGGTTGACGTGGAATCTTTGCAATATATTAAAATAAAGCTTGCGATAGATATGTTGCGAACGGGAATATGTTAAGGAACATAAATGTTAAATGATAAATAGGAGATTTTGTTTTAGATATAAGTTCATTATCCTTAAGTGTATATATATGGGTTTTTAATAAGGACACTTTAAAGTGAGTTAAACTTTATACAGGAATGCATAAGTTTAGTTGCTATATTTTTTTTTGCCCTCATCAGTGAGTAAATGTATTTTTAGAAAAAAATGTAATAGATTTTGTTAGCATATGTAGGTATAAATAATGAAGAAAAACTTAACATTAAAATTTACAAGCAAATAGGTATACTGTACTAAACAGAGAAAAGTATATAGAATATAATAATTAAAAGGGTATTGTATATTTTTTAGTTAATTGAAAACTAAAAGATTTAAGAAAACATAAGTTAGGAAGTTTAATATCTATCTTAAAAGGTCAAAATTATGGTTAATATCTTTTTAAATGTACCAATCATTCTAAGGAAAGTACAGTTTAAGAAAACATATATCCGTTTAATTTCCTGTTCTCTTCCTAAAATATGGGAATGGGGAAATTCTTTTCTCTTAAACGGAACAGTTATTCCCCAAAGGGGGAAAAGAAGAAATACGTTTCTCTTAACGGCAAATTGCCTTCTCTTTGCTAAAATTTACTTTTAATCTGTTCTGGTTTACTAGAATTGTTTTGTGGAAAAGAATC